ACGAGGTGATCAATCACTGCATCTACGGCATTGGAGAAAACAGACGGAGGAGCCCACGAGAGGGCAGTCGCAGTTACAGTCGCAAGAACAGGGCCAAGGGCAGGCACAAGATGGACAAGCTGCAGAGGCTGGCGCAGATTCAGAAAAGCAGTCTCAGGAACTCGATGATTCGGCATTCTCTAAGTTCAATGTGCAGGTCGATGTTCCTCAATACAGCGAAGACCAGTATAGCTCGAACCTAGCAAACAGCGATTGGACGAAAGACGAGACAGATTATCTATTTGATCTTGTGAGGAGTTTTGATCTCCGCTGGCCGTTAATATGGGATCGGTATGAGTACCAGCCTAAGCTACCTGACAGTACAGTGAATGGAGACGGACCTGCTGTCACAGATCCCAGTACAGCCGTCGTTCCTGCCCCCAAGCCTCGGAGCATGGAGGATCTGAAATCGAGGTATTACGAGGTGGCAGCAAAGATGATGGCAGTTCAGAAGCCGGTGCAGTATATGACTCAGACTGAATTCGGATTGCACGAGCTGATGGCCACCTTTAACCCTATATCGGAAGCCCAGCGCAAGAAGTTTGCGGCAGATGCCCTGAGTCGCTCTAAGGAGGAGGCTAGGGAGGAGGAGTCGCTGCTGATTGAAGTTCGGCGCATACTTGCCCGCCAAGAAAAACTCAATCAAGAACGCCGTGAGCTCTACAACCGCCTCGACTACCCCCACACAGAACAAGACATCAACGCTTTCAAGTCCAGCGCCGGACTCCAAACACTTCTACAAAATCTTATGAGTGTTGATAAATCCAAGAAACGCAAGTCGCTTATGGAAGCCAATGGCCTGAACACGCCTACCTCGGCACACCCCGCGACTGCCCATCCAAACTCAACTCCGATCTCGGAGAATCGGCGTGAGAGTATCGCAGCCTCCTCTGTCGGTCATCGCGATTCGATTGGAGGCGGCGAGCGACCTGATCGACCTTCTAAGAAAGGTGCCGCTCAGCCCGAACGCAAGAAGCTCAACGAGCAAGAGGAGAAGATGTACGGCGTGTCGTACCATGACCGTCTGCCCTCGGGTCCGACCTTCCGGTATGAGAGAATCAACAAGATCCTCACCACTAAGAGCAACGCTCAACATCTTCGTATTACAAACACACTAGCTGAGCTAGACATCCCCAGCAGACTCAACATGCCCACGAGAGCCGTGGTGGAAGAGATGGAGAAACTCCTCAACTCCATCGGCGTCCTTCTTGACATGCGCAAGATGAACGACAAGATAGACGGCGAGATCAAGGTCGAGCAGGGCAAGAAGGCGGAGCGCATGAAGGCTTTGGGGCTTCCTCCGCCGGAGGCCGCAGCCAAGACAGGAGATGCAGCATCCAGCACCAGCAACGGCAAGACGGAGGGCACTACAGCCGGAACGGGAAATGCAACGGTCAATGGCGATAAGCCTAATGGTGCTGCGCCTACTGCCAACGGCACAGCAAACGGTGAGGGCAACGGGGCTATGGACGTGGATGAGTCAAAGGGCAATGGCGGTGCACAGATCAAGCAGGAGTCCACCGAAGACAGAGCCGCTCGTCCCGGAAGCAGCGGCGCGAACAAGAGAAGTGCCAGCGTCCTGAGCACCGTCAGCGACAAGAGCGCCAAGAGACAGAAGAAGTAGTAGTCGTGGCGGGACTATGATCCGGAGGGGGTGTGGGGGCATTGGAGGCCCAAGATGCCAGCCATTATGTAGGTCCTAGATGCACATGGGAGTATTGCAGGGCCTTCGCGCCTCGCTGCGTTCTGGCGAATATCCACCCTCTCTGTATGTATTGTAAGATTCAGGTATCTGATGCGCCGGCTCTCACTTCAGATCGGCGGCGTCAGGGCTGTGTGTCAGTAGGGATACGAAAATGGAAACGGGAAATGGGAAAACGGTCTACATAGAGACAACGATAATGCAAATTCGCTTTGATAAAATATACCTGAATTACTGGTCTAGCTGGAGGTGACGGTCGAACTTACATGCAGTCATCACTCTAAAACCGCGCCCCGTTTAAGTTTATTTAGCTGTTCTTCACAGCCTATCGGATACAACTCCAACTTTCCCCTTTCTAACACAACACGATTCCGAGTTCAGCGGGTAGGAATTCATTCAGTATGCAGTGTGGGATGGGATAGGACTCCAGGGTTACGTGACACCCGGCTCTTGAGGTATGCGAGGTTCTCAAGGTCGTACAAGCTTGCGGGGTCACTTACACGCAGTACCGGTAGATCTGGGAGCCATGACAACGTTTTTCATGCTTAACATGGCATATTCTCTAGTTAACAGACTGCTCTTTCTGAGTATTCAACGCCTGGTTTTCGTCTTTTTTGTATAACTTCCCAGATTTTGCCGAGTTTTCATCGAATTCTTAATTCAAATTCAAACGACTTCCCTCCTCTATAGACCTCTTGATGCTTCGACGGATGAGATTCGCCTCCTTGATATCCAACAGGCTCAAGTCAGAAACGATGACAATGGCGAAAGGGCGGATGAGATCATATCATGTCGCTTGTTCACGGTTCCCTTATCAGAAACTCTACGTTATGCCGCTCTATCTTACGTTTGGGGTGATCCTTCCAACACCGAAGATATCGTCGTTAACGGCACCGTTATGCCTGTCACCGTCAATCTTGCGGCTGCTTTGAAACGACTTAGAAGCAGCGACATAATCGTTGATCCCGAGAATGAAGAGGGAGTGAATAACGCGAGCAGTGGCAGTTCTCCGCGTTTGCTTCCTCTGTGGGTTGATGCGGTCTGCATCAATCAAAGTGACATCGTCGGAAAAAAACAAGCAAGTCTCTCGAATGGGAGACATCTACAGGCATGCCATATATGTAATTTCCTGGATGGGCGAGCCAGATGAGCACTGTCATGTTGACCTAATATTTGATGTCATTCGAGCGATCCGACCGCATCTTCAGGCTTGGTCGAGTTTCTTTCACATGAATTTTCTGGTTAATTCTCTAGAGGGTAGGAAATGGATTGAAAGACAGCCATCTCTTTGTCAACCTGATCCCCCCGAGTCAAATGGGAACGTGACATGGGATGCTTTAAAATGGGTCATGGATTGTGATTACTGGACTCGGATCTGGACTATCCAGGAGCGCGTGGCCGCCCGCTCACTAGAGTTGAACATATTCGTAGCCGGCAGCGCGCGTGCCACGTTTGCTGACATTACATCCTTCTTCGCCTTGTTCGATACCTCAAGGGATTGGCTCATGGTTTCTCCGCCGGGATCAATTCCTGGTGAGTTATGGCTTAAACTGATGGGCAAGATCAGCGTTTTTCTCGGGCTGATACAGGCGAGCTCATACAAATGGAACGCCCACCCAATGAGAATAGTCCTGATTGCTACTTACTGCACAGCATCAGACCCAAGGGATATGATTTATGGCCTTCAAGGGGTTAGCTAGTAGCACCCAAAATCTGTTTATCCTCAGGGCTTGTCGCAGGGGCAAGAATTCCCTATCAGAGCATATTCGGAGCAAGAAGGCGAGAAGCGGGTCTTGAATCTCTATACGTACAAACAAACTGTCCAGAAAGAGAAAAACTGACTCTGGTTGCTATAGGGCAGGCAGATATCAATGTTGACTACAACAAATCAGCCAGGGACGTCTACCTAGAATGGGCCGGTAGCTGTCTCGACCACCTCAGTAAGACTAATGATATTGATCACATGCGCCTTATGCTCTTCGCAGCTGATGTAGGGCTACACCCATACATAAATGAATGGTACGTAAAAGATATCTTACAACAGGGCCCAAGACTCCTTTCGTAATTCATTTGCTGGGTTCGTTGTATGGTAGCTCACACATTCGCAGTACGTTGAAGCCTTCTATCTTCCCTCACGCTGTCTACCCGGCCTCTCAAAGTAGAGATTGTTTTGGCAAACAGGGTGCAGGCCAAGACACTGACATACACAGATGATATTCCATCTTGGATTCCACAGCTTATGAAATTATCTCAACATGAGGGGCATATTATTTGGACGCCACAGCGAAGGTGTTCACTTGCTTTTGATCCTCCATATCCAACCGTCATGCATACCGGCATCCTAAAACTCCATGGTGTGGTCTACGACGAGGTTGCGGAAGTAGTTCGCGTAGGGGATCCAATTCAGAGTGAACCTTCCGTTGTCTTTTGGTTCAACCTCTGCATAGAGATCACCACCCGAATAGGGAGCTGCAGATACAAGGACGACAGAATGATTGCGTCCCTGGCTGCAATGCTCTCTATCATGCACGCCCAACCAACGGAAGAAAGATTTAGCATAAAATACCCGACAATCCCACTTCCACGCAACTGGGTTCTTATACAAGGTTTCTTATTTCTGTTGAAAGCCTATGTAAAGGATATCTCAGAGGCAGAAATGAACGATGCATTGATGCGGGTAGGCCTATCGTCTCGAGAACACATGTATCAATTCCTTGAAAACCAAGTTTTAGACTTTGTTAGTGAAGAGGATGCAAGCAATTCAGGTGAGATCGTTGGCCCTGAGACGAGAGTACACGTGGAGGATTTCATCCTTCGCTGTCGGGGGCAGGCTTTTTTCAAGACTACGAAGGGTTAGTTGGGCCGTGGCCTCTCTGGGACAGCCTGGTGACCGACTCTGCTTTATCAATAGTGCGCCAGAGCCAATATTATTGAGGACGGTTGATAGCCACTGGGTCCATGTCGGCACCTGTGATGTTCTTGGCATCTCTGAAAAAGAGATGGCGAGTCTCGATAAGACGAAGATCGAGGAGTTCTTAGTTCACTAAATAATCTGTCGATGTTGCATTATGTATGTGTGTGTATATAACATAGCGTCTTAGGTCGATACATGTTCACTTAAGGTATAAGAAATGAAGTTAAGCCAATAATATATATGTATATATAAAGGTCAGCTTAAGATTAAGTATAAAAAGAAAACTTATAGGTGTTATAATATAAAAATTGAAAAACAACAAGAACATCATTGCTATTAACCTCATGTCCTGGGTGAGACTCGAACTCACGACCTTTGGATGTCCCAACCTTAGATTGAGTCATATGTATGAGACCAACGCTCTAACCAACTGAGCCACCAAGACATTTGCTTCTTTCGGAGATAGTGCTATTGTGGCTTATCATTATGGATTCAGTCACAGTGCGGGGATTCCATGTATCAAGGCTCCGCTGACATATTAACTTCTTATCACATGTCTGTTGCAGAGTATCCCCTGTTTTGGAACAACAATTGTTTAGAATATATAAATGACCAATGTATCGTATTATTACTCTTAGTTACTTAATGGTAGCATACTACCGCATCATATGTGACAGAGTTCTTTTGGCTTCATTAGCGTCGGCATAGGTACTTTGTTCACAATCTCCATTCTCACTGTCTCTGGTTACTCAATTTCACACCCCCCTAAGACATGCCACGTGCAACCAGCATGTTACGCGTTGCACTATTATAATCATATCTTCGTAGCGTCCTGTATAATCATCAACTGCCTCAAGGTCCTGGTACCGTGCCAGTACCGCTGTAAATGCTTCCACTCGTATAGGTCCCCAGAGGGTCGGCCAGGCTCACGTACAGCGGGGCCAGCTCGGCGGGCTGGACGAGACGCCCGTAGGGACGTGCCGCGGCGAACGTAGTGATATTCTCGGTCGTGAAGCCGCACGTTGCCAGGAACGGCGTGTACGTAAGCTCCGGGGCGACGCCGTTGACCCGGATGCCCTGCGGCACGAGCTGGATCGCGAGACTGCGGAGCATGTGGGTGACGGCCGCCTTGCTGGAGCCGTAATCGACCGCGCCGGCTTCCGGATTAGATACGATTCCGGAGGCTGTGAAGATGATGCTGCCGCCGCGGGGCAGTAGGGGCACGGCTGCGCGCGTTAGAAAGAAGGGCGCGAAGACATTGGTGCGATAGAGGCGCTCGAGCTGCGCGGTAGAGTGGTTGGCGATGGGACGCCATTCTGGACCTGCTTGTACCCCGGAGTACCTGTTTGCCACCAGTCAACTACGGATATATATGTGTGCAGCAAGATTGTTCATCGTTATCATGACCATACCCTGCATTGCTGACCAAGATATCTAGTCCGCTTAGGCGGTTCGCTGCTTCGTGGACGAGGTATGCGCAGAACGTCTCATTTAGCAGGTCGCCGGGAATGCGTTCGAACGTTAGACCCTCACGCCCTAGGAAGTCGGCAAGGTCTTGTGCGTCGGACTCTTCATCCGGGTGGTAGTTGATGGCCACGTTAGCACCCTCGCGAAGGAAGGCAATGACAACGGCTCTTCCAATACCGGAGTCACCGCCGGTGATCAAGACGTTCAGACCCTGAAGACGGCCAGTGCCTTTGTAGGTCTCCTCTCCCGAGTCAGGGCGAATTTCCATGCTCGTCTGCAACACGGGAAAACTACCAGGTGTCATCGTGAATTCTATGCCGCTGTATCGATTGACAGGGTCAATGAGTTCGACATCTTGTTCTACTTCTCGTTTAGCCTTGTGTTATCTTGAGGGTACAGGCACGCAACAACCCCAACATACTTTGAGCAGACGCCACACTGAATAAACCCATGACGAGGGCGATCAAAACGAAGAGCTGATACATATCGCAAATAATGGTGTGAATGGACTTTTATTCGTACACTTGTTATATCCGTTTAAAGGCCAGGAAATTTCCAAAATGGTCACTGAAACATCTATCTTCTTATATAGCTAAGCATCCCTCCACCTCAAGTCGCTACACTGAACATTCCGTCCTCCTAAACTACACAGTCGGCTCATCTCGCTATAGCTTACGTGTCCGAGGGACAACTCTCAAGGCCATCGGGTTTCTAGTGGAAACGTGATCGGATTTGCAGGTTATCGCAAAACAGTAAATCCGGCGATCTACACTTGGCTATCCCTCAGTAGCTGGTTCTGCTGGATTTTATACTAAAGCCGTAGGTGGGTACATTGCCTACGCAAAGAGATGGTCAAGGAATATCAGATTGTCCAATGGGGTGCTCAGTCGCGCTTATTCGGCCGATATTCGCCATTGGCATCGACTGATGCCAAGCTAGCTCGCTATGGAAATAAGGTCACCACCTCGACACCAGAGTTATGATTGACAATATGATAGCTCTACTGAATAGAGCTCATCGCTGAAAGTATAAAGCAGTGGCAGTGCAGTTCGATGTCCACACGTCAACCGTAACATTGGAAAACCAAAGACCGAAGCTACTTGAGGAGAATATGCTGAATAATGGTAATAGGAGGCTTAGCCTGTCTATCAACTATCAAGAATCGTGCTCAGAAATGAAACTCTCCCTGTTAGTTAGCCTCAAAATACCTCTCCTATATAACACATTCTTTTTAGGATTCGTCTGGGACATGATTTCCTAGCCCGCATAATAGTCAAGCTAGTAGACACATGGATCAGTCTATCATGTCAGCACACTTCCGTGCCATGGATTCGTTTATGCATACTGTCTGAATCTAGATCTACCGGCGTAATTTGAACGGAACGGAATAATGGCAATAGTTAAGGGGGTCACCACGCCACATTGCGATCAAAAAATCGAAGCTCCTTCTCCGACGGACATGCTCCAAAGCCTTCACTATTCCCATCCTCAGCACTCCTGGGTTCGACCTTAAGCCTCCCAAATCCCAACCTCCTCCTAGCCGGATCCAACAACCTCGACGACCTCGCCGCGCCAGGAAACCGTTCCCAGAAGACCTTGATCTGATCCTCGTAGCGTCCTGACAATTCCTCAAAGGCCTTGACCCAGCCCTCCCGTACCTTCGCGATCCAGTGCACACGGCCGTTCCGGTCGACGAGCACGGGGAGCTCGACGCGAGCCCAGATGCCGTCGGTGGGCGGTTTCGCGTAGTCCGCGGCGGCGTGCATCACCATGGCGCCCTCTTCGGCCTTCAGCGCGAACGCGCGCGACATCGCCTCGAAGAACCGCTGCCGCTGCGTGTCCGAGCTGTGGATGCAGCGCAGCGCGTTCGAGGACGCCGCCTCGGCCCGGTACAGCTCGCACGGCCACACGTCCCAGATGGTCACCTGGCCGTCTTGGCGCGCCTTCGCGCGCGCTGCCGCCGACATACCGGCGGAGTAGAAGAGCGCATTGGATTGGAGCGGTGACGAGTGGGCTTTCTTGGTGTGGGAGAGGAACCACTGCTCAGGTTACAGTGCGTTAGCCACCTCGGGCGATCTGCCGGGATTCTTATTCATCAGGTGGGTCATTAGCTATAGGAACATACTTCTGTCGTATATTTCTCAATACTATCGCACGGAACGACGCCATCGGGTTGGCCTATGAGGCGAGCTTGGTCGCGATCGTTTCCAATCAACACTGGCTGCGCTGCGAGCAGAAGCAGAGCGACTATAGCCACTAAAAGCATGAACATTGTCATGTTCGTCATGATAATGGAGCATCTAATTCATCGATATATGAAACATGGTCTCCCTCTAAGCATTATGGTAGGGCTTGAGGAGGACTAGTTGGAGAAGGAATAAGCCGCATGTGTATTGCGGGAAGTGCAGGAAGTGGTCGACGAGAGGGGACTTAGGTATGGAGTTGTATTGCTGTGCCGCTGAGGCTGTGTTCGTTATTATGTAATTGCCAGCGTTATCAGGAACATGATCTACGCGAGCTTGCCTTTTCAGGTTAACATACAGATGAATGCTATTATAAGAGTCAGTGTAGGTTCTGTGAGGTGTGAGTCGCTGTCAGTGTTGATGTGAAATCTTCCCAGAGATATGCTTTAGGTAGAGCTGGAATTTTACCCCTGTTTGTGCATTGTGCTGCTAACGGGGGCTTACTTTTCAGAAGTGCCTCTAAACGCTCTCCCAGAAGTAGTATAGTCAAGACCATTAATACTAAATAAGAGTAGAATATCTTTACCTGGCATGCCTTATGCGTGCGATGCGCCGTACCTCAATTGCCTTGGCGGTATGTGATGTATCGTCAGCTAAAAATAGCTTACGTTTCAGCCTAGATGTATAGTAAACTGTAGTATACGTAGGATCATGCTATTCTCACCACTTTATACGGTGCCTAGTCGTATTTTAAAAACGTCTCATGCTGTCACATTTTGTGTGCGCTGCGTCGTGAGTTACTTCAGATTGCAATCTTGCAATGCGTTTCTTCAACCATCGCCGAGGTTCATCAACACCCCGGAGTGAAGCTCCAGCGAAACCGAGAGTACCATCTTACGTAGGTCTTAGGGACGACCAAATACGCCTTCTTGAGCTACTCCCCGGAACTCTCGATCATGAACTCGAGTGTCACCTGAAGCCAGTTTCATGGACAGACTTACCCTCATATGAAGCTCTATCTTATGTTTGGGGCGTTCCAATATTCAACAATCCAATCACTTGCGATGGCGTCGTAGTCGACATCACCAAGAGCCTCTTCACAGCACTTCGGCAACTGAGGAATGAGCACAGCACAAGGCTCCTCTGGGTCGACGCACTGTGCATCAACCAACAAGATGTGCAGGAGAAAAGTGTCCAAATCCAGCGCATGCGGGATATCTACGCCAGATCTAGCGGCGTAGCAGTCTGGCTTGGCGAGGAAAGCGAGGACAGCGACTCCGCCATCGCGTTCGTAAATGAATGTGCGACGAAGTGGGCAAAAGAAGGAAAGTCGCATGGTGTAACGAACGAAGACGGGAAGGCAAACCCTTTTCAGCATATACAGACATTTCGCAACGGGCCGCTACGCTCGCTGCTTCGGGTCGTTCAGCGACCGTGGTTCTCTCGCGTCTGGGTCATCCAGGAGGTCGCACTGGCCGCGCATCGCGCCACCGTGTACGTCGGCCCTAGTAGCGCCTCCTGGTCGGACTTCGCAGACGTATGCGACTGGGCGGTGGAGTCCGGGCTAGCCATGTTTGCGCCGAGTAGGTTCGGAAAGCCGCTCATGCTACGTACAACGGGGGAGCATACGATAGAAATGAGAGCCGAAGGCCTAAACCCAGATCCGAAAACTGATCTTCTGCCGCTTCTCCTGAGATTCAGGGAGTTCAGTGCCACAGACGCGAGGGACAAGGTCTACGGGCTCTGTGGACTTGCTGATGCGTCGAAGAGAGAAGATCCGTTCCTCAATATAAAT